TACTTGTCTGTGAGTGTGAGGACGAGGGAATAATAACTTCTTAATATTATGATGTCGCGCAGTGCAGTACTTCCTTAAGAATTGCGTTTGATTTCTTTGCGCAGTGCTACATTTCTTTGGAAATTATGTTGATGCTTCGTTCCGAGAGATATCGACCTTGGAGTTCTTGTTGTAATCTTTCGTCTCAGGAATTACGGTAAATGTGGTCTTTCGTCTCAACTACGTTCTACTCTTAGTTGTATGGCCTTACGATGTTGTGTGTCGCCTTACGTATGTTGTTGCTATTGTTGTGTTCGTAATCTTACGTCGGTTGCTGCTGTTGTTGTTTTTAGTCTTACGCAGTTGTTGCTTTTAGTCTTACTTTGATTAATTACCAAGTCACGAGATCTTGAAATAAGAAACTTTAGTAAATGACTACGAGATTCATTGGAACCAGATGCACACATGAAGGAGGGAGCGGGGCCGAGGAGGTAAGTTCAACAGGGTGATAAAATCAATGAATAAGTGAGTGGATGGAGTCAGAGAGTTGTGAGTGGATAGTGTCAATGGATAGAGAGAGAGTTGAGTTCAAAAATAAAGATGGATTATTTTTTCCACAGTCAACTTGTTGCAAACGATGAAATTATGTTGAGAAAATCTAAAGACTCTTCGTTGTAGAGGGAATGTTACGAGATGCGAGGTCTTCCACTATGATGTCTCTACGATCTTTCTCCGATGATGTCTCTACGATCTTTCTCCGATGATGTCTCGTCTATGATCTTTCTACGATGATGTCTCGTCTATGATCTTTCTACGATGATGTCTCGTCTATGATCTTTTTCCGATCTTTCTACGACGTCTCTCGTCCGATCTTTCTACGATGTCTCTCCGGTCTTCACGGCTCGTCGACTCACACGAAGGAGCGATCACGCTTGACGACATTTGTATCACAGAGTAGTTGTTCGCGCCCTCTACTCGCCTCAGCTTCCTGCCTTCTTCTGCTCTTCGGTCTCGTCATAACAGTTGTTGTTCACAAGGCTTAGGGCTTCGGGTGGGCTTAGGGGTTAGGGCTGCGCACACGATCGACGGGCCGCATACTTTGGCACCGTCGCGCCAGCTTGGCGGGGCTCCGCAAAGGTCTCACCCCCCCCTGGCCAAGCTAGCAGGCCATGAACCACGAACAAGCCACGCCCAGCACCGTCGGCCCGTGGGCCCTCATGGCCTCAGCCCTCTGCCACCTCAAGGAAGACCAGCACCAAAGGCCCTGCGCCTGCCTATGTCTTCCCCCCCGCTCAGGATAAGCGCGCAAGCGCGCCTGCCTCTCTCTGGTGTCCACGTCTCCTCGCCCTCAGGCGGAAGGCAAGGTAATAGGCAGCACACCAAGGGCCCGCCGCTCCCTGGTGACACCACAGACACGCGGACACCCCGCCGGAGCCGAATGGAGCAGGCAAGCCCAGGCAACGGAGCCCGCGCAGGCCTTCCCCCTCATGAAATTGATTTGGCTTTGCCGCTCTTACTTTACCCACCGCTATCCACTCCAGTTCGAGGGACGTTGCATTCACTACATATCCCACCACCACCTATTCGAAAAACTGAAATAAGCAAGTAACTGATCAGAATAACCGAGATACTGACGTGGAGGAAGAGTAGCCTTGACGGTAAGCTACCTCCCTTATTTCAGTCAGTAACTCGGTTATTTTGAGTTTTCGAATCGGCGCAAGCGTTCAAAGTTTGCAATCCCTCCCCCCGTGAGGATATGGGGGCAGGCGGTCTTGTGTAGTCCCTGGCGTCCGCGTGTCCTCACGCAGAAATATGAAAGCAGGCCGGGCCCCTTCGCCGTTCTCGTGAGAGAAGGCGCGCGCGAGCTTCCTGCGCAGCCTCAAACGCTTCAAAAGGTGCCAAAAATCCGAGGGAGTGCATATCTAGCAAGTGGCCCGTGCTCCCATCGAATCCGTACCCTGGGGATCCACGCCAGGGGGCTAGTAACAATTCATCAGTCAGAATCTACAGCTAGTCTTAAAAATGGAATAGCGGAGCAGCTTTCATCAGCGCGTCTCTACGGACAGTTGCTGTGCTCCTGTGCTATCATCCATGGAGGATTTAATCGAGAAATTGAAACCCAAATTTTAGATGTTTTAGCAAATAGAAATCAATGGCGACACCCAAGATGATGTCGCAAATGGAATTTGAATTCAGACCTCTTAAGGTCTGGAGAACAGACGAGAGACTAGTCGTGCCAGATAAACTATGGAAAAAGGGGATAGTTGTAGAAAGGTTTCAGATTTCAGAAAGGAAATGCAAGCTCAAGAAAAACTGATACTCTACAAGTATCTCATTTGTTTCTAAATGTCAAGTTGACAACATTTTGGCATAGCATCAGTGATTGTGGCCTGTGGACTCCGCATCTTCACATCACTATGTATCTATAGTAAACTAGTAATATTTTCAACATCATAAGAAATAACATCTATCACTGATTTTTTTACATCGAAAAAGTAGTCAAAACTGTTCACGCCGAATTCACAAATTTACCATAAGATTTGAAGGAAAAGACCGAAACATCACTGCCATAGCTGCGTTGATAAGATAGTAACACGGAAGTGCCATTCTCTGTGGGTAAAACTTCAGCGCGCATTCCAATGCCATTCTCTGTGGCTAATTTTTTAGGTAAAACTTCAGCGCGCATGCCTAGTCTTAGTATAACGTGCCACCGATGACCGTCCTCAAAATTCGATGGTCGTTCAGACAGACCGATCAATACGATGAACGTAGACCGATCGTTCTAGAATTCTACTACGACTTCCCCGAGTCTCTTCTGCGATGATGATGATGATGATGATGATGGTGATGCTGGTGATGATGATGTTGTTGTTGTTGTTGTTGTTAGTCGATTCGAATTGGGCTCCTAATTTTTCCCATAGTACACATATATGGTCCTGAGCAAGATTTAGATGACTGTGTAGATTGACTATGGCCGACTTGACGTGATGGAGATGGATTCTATCTCGCACTCATTTCAGTTTCAAAGTATTCGGCCAAAGGGCCAGCGCACCAGCTGGGAGGGCGCAGAGAAGTCTTACATTTCATGCCCGGATCCACCTCCACAACAGTGGCAAAATGGCCGCAATAGCTCAAGTCCCGCTGTGCCAGTAGTAGCACTAGTCGATATATATAAAGTACTAAATCAAGTGCCTCTCCTCGCTCCATTTTTATGCGCTTCTCCTCCTGTAGCAACATAGTCGCCCAACTCAAGTCTGAGAAGCCAACAGAAGAACTATTCGAAAAACTGAAATAACCGAGTAATTACTTGAAATAAGCACAGGTAAACCTGAACAAGGAAGAGTAGCCCCGTCAAACCTACTTACCTCCCTTATTTCAGTCACTTACTCGGTTATTTTCAGTTTTCGAGTACACTAATGCATACTACATCAGGGTAAGGACTGGATGGCACAGATGAACACTCAGGCCATGCTGGCGAATACGCCATACTGCAACATAATTGCAAGAATCATCAGATTCAGTTTAGGAAGTATGGTTTTATTCATGCAACGAATTCTATAATTGTGAAAACAATGTGATTATTTGTTGGATCAAGCATGGTTGATGGACGACTATCTATTCGAGTTCACGTTCTTTCACAGAGAAGAGAAGACACACATCCACCCAAGAAGTGTTTCGCAAGTAGTTCGTAGTGCTTTTTCGAGTACGTACTCATAGCTGCCGTGTCTATTCATCTCTCGCTGGACGATCAGGGTTATTAGCAATAGGGTAATTGCAAATAATATCCCCTCGATGGGCCACCATGCTAATTGGCAATATTAGGATCTCAGTCAGATCTACCGAGTAATTGGTAAAAATACAAATACTAGTATACTTCCTACAGCGTCTAACTCATGACGCCGTTAGGAGCATCTGTACGAGCGTCAAGTTTCAGTCATCTCAATGAAAACGATTCGTTCGGGAACAATTGCTCCGAGTCTCCCTGTTCCACGCCATTTCATGTAGATGATGTCATATTTTCGTTACGACTTAACATCATGAAATTAGCTCTAGTGAAAGTGGCTTTGTCGTGCAACAGACACAACAAATGGCCACCGTCATGATCATGATAGATCGCAAACAGTGAAGTACCTAGTAAATTGTTATCTATCAGAGGGAGTGCGGGCGTCGTGCGTCTCTCCTGGCAAGTAACAATATTGGCCGTCATAGTTGTAGCACTACTTACCTTAGACGTAACGCGCATTACAGACGAGATGAATAGAAGAGAGACAGCCGTGATCTGCACACGAGGATCCCGATCACGACTTGATAGATGGAAATATGAGTCAGCCTCAGCACTCACAGAAAAATAAAAACCTATATTCTGCATAATCTCTTACAGTATAAAGTTTTTCCCTCGTTTTGATTTTGATTTCATATTTTGAATTTTGATTTTGAATTTTGATTTTGAATTTTGATTTTGAATTTTGATTTTGAATTTTGATTTTGAATTTTGAATTTTGATTTTGAATTTTGATTTTGAATTTTGATTTTGAATTTTGATTTTGATTTTGAATTTTGAATTTTGATTTTGAATTTTGAATTTTGATTTTGAATTTTGAAGATCAAAGTTTTGAGATTCGAACCAAAGTTTTGACATTTAGATCACAGTATTGACGCTTACATCTCCCCGCTGAAATTCTGATCAAAGTTCTCAACACTCTGTCAGGGTATGGAAATTTGGACCAAAGTACTGAAGTTCTACGCCTTGATTTTGAGTCGTGATTTCAGATTTTGCGCTTCAGTGTTGATCTTGAGTTTTGATTTTGAATTTTGATTTTGAATTTTGA